AGGACATGCTGTATGATCACATTTATATGAAGTTTATCTACAAGAGACAAATACATAGAGACCAAAGTTTGATTCGTTTTACCAGGGGCAAGTAGGAAGGGAAAAAGGAGAATTACTGCTTTAAGGGGCACTGAGTTTCTGTTTGGGTTGATGAAAAACTCCTGGAAATGGACAGTGGTGACGGTTGCACAACAGTTTGAACATAATTAATGTCACCGAATTGTACACGTAAAGAAGGCTGAGTTGACAAAAGTTTTGTTATATATATCTTCCCACCAAAAAAAAGGAGTGAAGGAAGAAGGGACTGTTTGAGATTAAGAGACTAAAGAGACATACCAACCAAATGAAACGCATGAACCTTGACAGGATCATAGCCCCACAAACAAAAAATGATAAAGGACATTTTGGGGACAACTGGGAAAATCTAAATCTAAACTGAAGGTATATATCATGAATTAATGCTAATTGTCTTAACCTGCTGCTGTTGAGTTGATTTCGACCCACAGCGACCCCACAGGACAGAGCAGAACCTCCCCCACAGGGTTTCCGAGGCTGTAAATCTTTATGGAAGCAGACTGCCACATCTTTCTCCCACAAGCAGCTGGTGGGTTCGAACAGCCAACCTTTCAGTTAGCAGCCAAGTATTTAATCCACTGTGCCACCAGGGCTCCTCTAATGGTCTTCAGTATGATAACAGTGTTGCGGTTACACAGAATATCCTTATTCTCAGGAGACGCGTGCTGAAGTATTTAGGAGAGAAGTATCAAAATGGTTAAGCAAAAATAACAATATCTATGAAAAATAAAGCAAATGTAGCAAATATTAACAACTGGCAACTACAGGTAAAAAGTAAATGGGTGCTTATTTTCTATTTTTTTTAAGTTTTCCATAAATTTGAAAATTTTCAGAAAAAGATAAGCAAAAAAAAGAGAAACATATACCATCTTTGTTTGATAAATACTAAAAAAATTTAAAAGGGAATTGCTAGGTCATAGGACATGCATATATTTATACAAAACCAAAATCCATTGCCACTGAGTCGATTCCAACTCATAGTGACCCTACAGGACAGGGCAGAACTGCCCCATAGAGTTTCCAAGGAGCGCCTGGTGGATTTGAACTGCTGACCTTTTGGTTAGCAGCCATAGCACTTAACCACTACGCCACCAAGGTTTCTATGTTTATATGAGATATGGCCAAATTGCTCCTCGATTGGTTGTACAACTGTCCCCACCAATATCTGTGATGTTTTATTTCTTTAAAACAAAAATCTGGAGATGTGAAGCAAATATGGCGAAATTTGGATGGGACACGTTGTTTGGTAGAAGCATGGGTGTTTGTTACTGTTCACTCCATGCGTCTCTGTGTGCTTGAATATTTCTTTTAAAAAATACGTAATACATTTACAAAATATATTAGCCACGATAGAAATAACATGCCCTTGGGGATATCAGAAAACAGGTCAATTCAGTATCACCCAAAGCCATCATGAGGTAACAGTCTCAGGCTGTTATCTAATGCAGCCTCAGTGGGAGGATGCAGGTCACCTAACCCTGTCACACTCTATCCTCAGGCTGTAGAAAGCCTGTTAACGTATCACCAGAGAGCAAGCACTCACACAGAGGAAGGGTGTCAAAGTTTGGGATGTTTAACTACCACCACCTATGGGGGACAGCATGAATCTGGCAGACACCAGTACACCAGTCTCTCAAGTATTGTTCCTAAGGGACAATTCCCATTCCCTTTGCTCCTGGTCCTCGCTCACCCCAACCTTCTATTGACTCCTTTTAGCCACCTAGGCCCCTGTCACTGGGAAGAGATGCACTAGAAAGCAGAGTATGAACAGATCAGACTGAAAAGGTACAGCCCCTACTGTTTGGTATAAATGAGCACTCTGGGGCATACTTCCCTCTTGTGTGGCTGGCTGATGCCCCTGAACCTAATTAATCTTACACCCCATCAGAATCAATGACCAAGGCCAGCCTCAGGCACTAGACACCATCTCCACTTTTCTAAAACTCCAATCTAGTACAAGCTGGAAGCAAAGATGTCAGAACGATGACTCAGAAATAAAGGCACTCCCTCCCCACCACATTCCACCCGATCAGGCAGCATACCCGGGAGTACTGCAGCTTGTCCACAATGTCATCACTAATAAGGGGAATTAATCCTGTAAGACACAGAAAAGCACTTTAAAGACAGCCAAGTAGCGAGGCCCAAAGGAGAACCTACAAGGCCACTCAGGGGCAAGGGGAAGAAGGGAGGCTTCCGAGACCAGGCACAGCACCCCAAGCACAGCACTCACCAAGTCTGTGAGCAATGAACTCATCGTGAAGGACTGAGGAATTGGCATCAATCTGCACCCAGTCAATGGCTGAAATATGAAGGAAGCAGAGATGCAGTTTAGTCACCAAATTCACCTAAAGACTTCAAGCAGTGGTTCTGGAGATTGAGGACTCACCTGTCGATGATTACACTGCAGACGCAGATGCAGGGGCTTCTCTGGACTACTCAGAAAACACCAGGTGGGGAGGGACATGTTCCTCTGAGCTGAGTATTTCCAGGAGAAGCACTTAAGTCTGCTACCTTAAGTCTACCAACACTAAATCCAAGAAAACAACTATGCGGGCATTTAGCTGGGGAAACCTCAGACTTATGGTCCATATCTCATTTTATGATATAAAGACCAGATCATCCAATTTAGTACTTCATTATCACTCAGTCCACTAATGTTTAATGAATTCTTTTAAGAGGTAAGACATACTGAGCATAAAACGCAACCCCTATTAGCATTCACCTAGTAGGAGGGACAGGGACTATACTCTCACACACACTTGACTTATACACACTTGTGTTCATTTATAAACATTTACACGTAAGCAATTAAACCTAGAAGCCAAATGGCACTGGAACCCACCGCCAAATGTCCCTGAAGAGGGTAAGACACAGCCAGGCCCCAAGCTGCTTCATCCCGCGATGCTTCCTACTGTTTCTCCCACCTAAGCCATTCATTCACCCAAATAAGGACCATGGCCCAGGCTTTTCCACCTCCACCTCTTTACTTCTCCCACCCCACCCCCCATCATCCCCTTATACTTTGATACTCAAAACACCAAGCCTTGCCTGCCCTCAGTGATACAGATACGATCACTCCCTTTGAGCTCCTCCCTCATAAAACTCTGTCTGGACTTCTCTTAAGGCACCTGTCATATTTTGCCTTGGGTTATATTTGTGTATGTCTTGTCTCTACCTCTAGCTTTGAAAATTCCTTGAGCCAGGGTCCTGAAATCTCTTCATATTCCCAGCTGTGATCTGCACTGTAACAGGTGCTCAATGTTACCCGTAGAACTGAATTCATGAAAAAGTGGCATTTAGATGCAGAATGTTAGGGTTGCATCATAAAGTCCAACTCTCTCATTTTACTCATGATGAAACTGAGTGATTAGCAGAGGGAGGACCAGCTTTTAAGCTCTGAGTTGCAGAAGTGATGGGAGGAGGGCAGATAAACTACAATGTTTTCTTGTTTACCAAGCAGTGGGCCTGCCTATTTCCCTAACATCGACGCAGGATTTATGACTTATATTTCTTTTGCCTAACCCAAACTCTCTGAGCTGACACTCAGAAAATACTTGTAGTATACTTGTCAATATGTAAAATACCTGAAGAAGGGTGGCTGGAACCAGAGAAGAAATAGATTCTCCCTCCTTTAAGTAGCTATGTAGCTATCTTTCTCCAGAACTACTCATTAAAGTGTACATTGTATTAGTGTTATCTGTGGACTTATTTCCCGCCCCTGCAACTTCACTGTGAACTCCATGAGCCAAAACCCATTGCCGGGAGTCATTTCCAACTCATAGCAACCCTGTAGGACAAAGAAAAATTGCCCCCATAGAGTTCCCAAGACTATAAATAGATACAAGGCACTTAATATGGATTACCTCACTTAATCCTTGGCATCACCTTGATAAACACTATTCGCGTTAGAAATGAGGAAACTGCAGCACATAGTTTAATAACTTGCCCAAGTTTCACACAGATGGTAACTGAAGGAGTATTCGAATTCACATCAGCAGACCCCTAAGCCCATGCTCTTCACCAATGCATACGTTTTTTAAGTGGCCAGCAGTGGCCGCTGGGCGAAGGGGTACAAGGTTTGGGCAAGCTTCCAACACTGTCGTTTTCTCAGCGATCCAGATATCCCCCCACCTCCACTCCCAGCCCGCACCAAGGACTGGTGGCAGGAAGCCCAAGATGAGTGAGTGGCGGCCTGGCCGCCCAGGCAACGAGATGAGGGTCGCTTACCTATTATGGGCACCTCAGCGATGAAGACCCTCCGAATAGAATTGGCTACCCTGAGGAATGAAAACCAAGCAGGATGAGGGCGCCGCCGCGTCGGCAGGCCGGCCCCTTGTCTCACGGTTCCCAAAGCGAAAGCCCTAGCAATGAAGGGGCCAGTTCTGGAAGGGACCACCCTCACCCCCGCCCCGACTCCCGCCCTCGGCTTGCGGTCTTCCAGCACTCCCGAGCCGCCAGCCTCTTCCCTCGGTAGCCTTACGCTAGGTCTGTATTCTCGATGATGAACTTGACATTCTCGTCGGTAAGTTCGGTGATCCGCACAGTAGGCTGGTTGGCGTACGGCATCGCGCCACTCGCCCAGCCCGGCCTCCGCAGTCAGCTTCGCTGCGCCGCCTTCGCCGGAAGTCAGCCAACGCTGCCCCTGCCGCTTCCTCAGAGACGCACTCACAGCGCCGCCTGCCGCTTGGAGGCCGGGACCGCTGCGGGCCAGATGTTTAATCGAAAGACGTTTTTGTAAATGAGGAAAACCAAACCCGTTGCCGTGGCATCGATTACGACTCATGGCGACCCTATAGGACAGAGTAGAACTGCCCCATAGCGTTTCCAAGAAGCGGCTGGTGGATTCTAACTGCCGACCTTTTGGTTAGCTGCTTGAGCACTTAACCACTGTGCCACCACGACTCCTTTGTAAATTCAGCCTGCTTTAAAACGGACCGGTTTTCACCTTGGACAGTAGTTTTGCCAAAAAGTGCATACGCCCTTTGTCTCAGCAATAACACTTCTAAGAATCATCCTGCAGAAATATTTGCACTTGTGAACAAAGATACATGTACAGGGATGTTCACTGCAGCGTTGTTTGTAAACGAATATCCATTGATAGATACCTGGTTAAATATACACACGTAGGAACACAACAAAGCCTTTAGAATGAAGTAAATCTGTAAGCTGTACGAAAAAATAAGGTTATACTTCAGCAATGAGTACGCTTTAGCAAAGTACACTTAAATTATAGGCATGCACCTTTTCCCCTTTCACCAAGTCTCGATCATGCACGTGGCTTCTCAACAGCCGGGCGGGCCGGGCTCTTTAACAAAAGGAGCGACACCTCTTATCGAGACAAAGAGAAAGGGTACTTAGTCTGTGTAGTGGGCCGAATGGTGGCCCCCGCAAAAAGGTATGTCCCTGTCCTAATCCCCAGAACCTATGAATGTGACCTTATTTGGAAAAAAGGTCTTTGCAGATCTCAAGGATCTTGAGATGAGATTATCCCAGATTATCTGGGTGGGCCCTAAGTCCAAACACAGGTGTCCTTATAAGAGATACCCAAAGACACACACACAGCAGAGAAAGCAATGTGAAGATGGACGCAGAGACCGAAGTAACAGGGCCACAAGTCAAGTAATATGGACAGTCACCAGAAGCTGGAAGAGGCAAATGGAAAATCTCCTCTAGCGCCTTCAGGGGGAGCATGGCCCTGCAGACACCTTCATTTTGGACTTCTAGCCTCCAGAACTGTGACAGAATTGATTTCTGTTGTTGTAAGTTACCAAGTTTGTGGTAATTAGTTAGGGTGGTCACGGGAAAAACCACACATTTGGAAGACCTACTCTATGGAAATAAATTTGAAAAACTAGAAAATCTAGATTTCTTATAGACTTCCAAATTGTGTATCAGTATATACAAATCAATTTGTTCCTTTCAATAATTAATTTCACCATATGAATGTATCATAATTATTTAATCAGCTCCATATTGATGGACATCAGCAATGATATCCCCCCATGCTTCTGTCAGTTTCTCGTACTGTGGGGGCTTGCATGTTGCTGTGATTCTGGAAGCTATGCCACTGGTATTCAAACAACAGCAGGGTAACTCATGGTGGACAGGTTTCAGCTGAGCTTCCAGACTAAGAGAGACTAGGAAGAAGGACCTGGCAGTCTACTTCTGAAAAAAATTAGCAGTGAAAACCTTATGAATAGCAGAACATAGTCTGATATAGTGCCAGAAGATGAGCCCCTCAGGTTGGAAGGCACTTAAAAGATGACTGGGGAAGAGCTGCCTCCTCAAATAGAGTCGACCTTAATGACATGGATGGAATCAAGCTTTTGGGACCTTCATTTGCTGATGTGGCATGACTCAAAATGAGAAGAAACAGCTGTAAACATCCGTTAATAATAGGAACGTAGAATGTACGAAATACAAATACAAATCTAGGAAAATTGGAAATTGTCAAAAATGAAATGGAATGCATAAACATCAATATCTTAGGCATTACTAAGCTGAAATGGACTGGTATTGGCCATTTTTAATCAGACAATCATACGGTCTACTATGCCGGGAATGACAAACTGAAGAGGAATGGCGTTGCATTCATCGTCAAAAAGAACATTTCAAGATCCATCCTGAAGTACAACACTGTCAGTGATAGGATAATATCCATATGCCTATAAGAAGAGCAGTTAATACAACTATTATTGCTGATGTCAGATGGATCCTGGCTGAAAGCAGAGAATACCAGAAAGATGTTTACCTGTGTTTTATTGACTATGCTAAAGCATTAGACTCTGTGGATCATAACAAATTATGGATAACACCGCAAAGAATGGGAATTCCAAAACACTTAATTGTGCTCACGAGGAACATGTACATAAATCAAGAGGCAATCATTCAAACCGAACAAGGGGATACTATGTGGTTTAAAGTAAGGAAAAGTGTGCATCAGGGTTGTACCCTTTCACCATACTTAATCAGTATGCTGAGCAAATAATCTGAGAAGCTAGACTATATGAAGAATTGGCATTAGGATTGGAAGAAGACTCATTAACAACCTGTGTTATGCAGATGACACAACCTTGCTTGCTGAAAGTGAAGACGAGTTGAAGTACTTACTGATGATCAAAGACTACAGCCTTCAGTATGGATTATACCTCAGCATAAAAGAAAAATTCTCACGACTTGACCAACAAGCAACATCATGATAAATGGGGAAAAGACTGAAGTCATCAAGGATTTCATTTTACTTGGATCCACAGTCAACATCCATGGAAGCAGCAGTCAAGAAATTAAATGATGCACTGCATTGGGCAGATCTGCTGCAAAAGACCTCTTTAAAGTGTTAAAAAGCAAAGATGTTACTTTAAGGACTAAAGTGCACCTGACCCAACCTATGGTGTTTTCAATCACCTCATATGCACGTGAAAGCTGGGCAGTGAATAAAGAAGACTAAAGAATTGATGCCTTTGAATTATGGTGTTGGTGAAGAATACCGAATATACTACGGACTGCCAAAAGAAGCAACAAATCTGCCTTGGAAGAAGCACAGCCACAATGCTCCTTAAAAGCAAGGATGACAAAACTTTGTCTCACATACTTTGGACATGTTATCAGGAGGGATCAGCCCCTGCAGAAGAACATCATGCTTGGTAGAGGGTCAGCAAATAAAAGGAAGACCCTCAACAAAGTGGACTGACGAAGTGGCTACAACAATGGGCTCAAGTGTGAGAACGATCATGAGGATGATGCAGGACTGGGCAGTGTTTTGTTCTGTTATACACAGGGCCGCTATGAGTCAGAACCAACTCAATGGCACCGAACAACATACTGATGGACATTTAGATTGTGGCTAGTTTCTAGTATACACAGAGATACATGAACTTCCTTGTTCACAGCTGTGTATCTGTAGAAAGTGGCAGCTGAAAGGGTAGGAGTGGCTGGGACCTTCAGTATCACAGCACTAACATAGAGAAGAGCCCCTAAATAGAATCTGCCAGGGACTTCATTTACAGGGCAGAAGGAAGAGTAACCACGAAAGGAGATAAAAGAAGTTTGCCTTAGCAAGGAGTGACACCTCTTCCCAAGACAGGAGAGGAAGGGCATTAAGGGGGCTCTTGCTCCATGCCTGTTTTTTCTCTGTGAAGTAAGATTTCAGGTTGTCTGCTGAGTGGAGATGGACGCTATGAAGGATAAAGGAAAGACTGGAATGAAATTTGAAACAGCTACTGCAGGGAGCTTAACAGGGTGCCAAGAGATGAGAAGAACTAGAGGTGCAGAAAGGGTCCAGTGGAAGGCCCCTGAGAAGAGAGCTGAGACTACTACTAGCTCATGACTTCCTCTGTCAGTACTCAGCAGACTTAGGCAGGAGAGGACAGCAGGAAACAGCTAACCTGACTTGCAAAGGGAGCCCAGTCAGTGTTGAGGCTGAGAAAATTATGAAAGCTAAAGAATGCCTCGCTGAAATGGCTAGGCGTGGCTGCATGGGCAGACAAGAGCAGGCAAGGGTCTGGGGAAGGCCCCTGGGACATTTTACCAGTGGGGAGACCTGGCCAAGATGCAGAGTTGTCATAACTACCCAGTAGGTATTAGGCAGCACCAGGACCAGAGCACAGGTCTCCCGGCTGCTAGCCTCAAGCCTTTTCCACAACCATGCTACTGCTCTCTCCCTCCGCGGTCTTCGATACCTGCCACAGCCTACATAGAAAAACTAACTACGCAACAGGAAGCTGCTTCAAACATATTTATTGTTGCTTTTAAAGACTCTATAAATTCACTAATAATCCTGCAACGCATGCTGGTGTAATGCAACACCAGGCCTGGGATCACATCTCGGGTGAAGCTGAGCACCACTGCCCAGCAGGCACCTGTCTCAGGTGAGGCAGCTCTCTGAGGGGTTCCCAGGTGTAGCATCTCAGGACATCAGAGAGGGAAAAGAGCTGTAAGGAACACCTCTGTCTGCACATGCCTGGGTTGTGCTGGGGACGACTGCCACCTAGTGGTGGCTTCAGACCTTAACCCTGGCTTGGGAGCCTCAGAGAGCATTTCTAGTAAGGTTAAGATATGATCAAGGTGCCCATGGGACCATGATGGAGACGTGCTGTGTTTCCATGGCTTGAATGCTTGGATGAGATATGAATTTTTCAACCATACAGCTGCAACGGAGAAAGGCATCAGAAGTCCAGCCTGGTATTAGAAACTGAAGAACTGGCCCGAATCCGGGCCAGAACTGTATCATCAAGTGCCCTGCGGTTTCCAGGTGGCTGTGGGAGTGACTCAGGTGTCCTTCAGTGTTTTCTCAGTAACATCCTGCACGTGGACGGCATGTCATACTTTGCAAAGCCCTTTAAATATATGTGCTGGTTTTCTTCTGGGCACTCTAGCTGACACCCTTCTTTCTCACCGGCGCTGGTTTAGACCTGCCAAGTTCTTGAGCTGACACAAGAATGGAAACAAAGAGAGTAGTGAGGGCCTTGCCCTGCCTGTAGGACTCCAGTGAGGAAGATGAGGATTTTTAAGGCGGAAGGCATGGCTATGATACGGTAACTTGACAGACCAGGGCCCTGAGAATCAGCCGTTTTTCTTGGTGCCCAGTAAAAAAATAGAGAGATGGGGGTATTTGGGAC